TATCCTAATAACGAAAATTGGTTGACTAATTATGCCTATTTGAAGTAACAGTATTCAAATTCAAGTAATTGAGTAGTTAATTAGTTAGTGTCGGAGAATAAAACTCAAAAACTGAGCAATAATTATTATAAAAAGAAGGAATTTAATAAATGTCAAATCAGATACGATTTTTTCAATTTGGTCGTAAATTTTTTGATTTGTACTTTCTGTAAAATAATTCAGCTTCTCAATTTTCTGAGCTAACTCATCCAATTTAGCATTATTTGAATCTATAAGCTTCGATCTTTTTGCATTTGATTCCGAAATATTGCCAAATTTTTGATTGCTTGCACTGTTTGAATCTTCCAGTACAATCTTTTTCTTCTCTGATTTCGGAGGAGTTGAAAGTTTTGATAATTTTCGCTCCAATTTTTTGTCTCTCTCTTCTGTTACTGATTTCTTTTTATCTAAAAATGACTAATTAACTCTAATAATCATATTGAACAGCTATTGTAAGTAAGTAAGTCACGAACACGTGTACTTGTTAGAATGACAAATGTAATCAGCCAAAATACGCGCTAATTATTTTAAATTAAAAACTAGCAATCAAAAATTAGCAACCATCATCATCATCTTCATCACCAAGACCGCGATCATCCAAATCAAATACAGGCTGTGGTGCATCTTTTTTGGAAAATAATTCAGAAATTTCACGCTCAATTTTTGCGTCATCAACTACTGCCTGTAATGTTTTAATTATTTTTGTATAATTTGTCAACAAAACGTGAAAAAATTAATCTAGTTCACAACAAAATCATTTTTTGAAAAACATCATAAATTCAGAATTCAAATTTAGGAAATAGCATAACTGATTCCAACATTCCTAACAAAAATTGTAATGATTGAAATTAAATGCAATATTGTTTTCATATTTTGATGAAACAATGGCATGCGAAAAAATTGTAAAAGTATGCGAAACAATTTGAAATCTGCGGAAAATTCAAAAATTACAAACTTACAGGTGCTTTGAATTTTTGACCACGACGAGTAACCTTTTGACCCTGCAAATTTGGCACAGTATCGGTTATTTTTTGATCCTTGTATGCTTAAATATGCAATCTGTTACTTACAATGTGCTTTAGACTAAATTTTAATATAAGCGAAATATGACCAAAGCTGTGAAGAAAAAGATGATAATTCATGAAGAAATTTTTGTCAGTTCTTTGTGAACTGACCTCTAACCCAAATTTTAACTTTGCCAACTTCAGCTCCTTCTACAAATGGCATTCGAGGATCATACCCACTAGGTGCTGAGATGTATTCAACAAGTAAGAACGTTTTACCAGGCTTACCTGCCTGAATGAAATGAACACAAATTTAAACTTGTATGATTAGTAGATAAGATGTAGTAACTTGTAATTACTTAAGTATTATTTATCAAATTATTGGAAATTACCCAAAAAATATTACATCTATCAAAACTAGATCATAAAGGTAAGTCCTATTCTTGATTCTAAAGATAATTTACATTGCACCGAACCAAATACTGATTTGCTTTATTCTGAATTTCAAGACTTATACATTTTCTCAGACTTATCAACTTTTCTTCGCAAGATTCGTTTTCTAATTTTCCATTAAGAAATTATTCAAAACTAATTCATAATTCTCTGTGGTGTATATTACAAGTAACATATAAATGCATTACCCGACGTTCCAAGACAACCTGTTTTTTCTCTCCAGGTTGAATGAAACCCAATGGTGGATTCACCTGTAACGAATTTTCGATATTCAAAAATATCCCTTATTTATTTAATAACACAAATTACAATAATTTTCAAAAAATTACTAGTTTTACCAAAAACTAAAACAATCAAATCATTTTCAGCTATATTATTCAAACACAATAAACAACTGTTTATGAATCCTTACGTAAAGTCTACCAATTTTGGATTAAACAATAAAATAACTGACCTTCATGTACTAAATTTCTTTTATATTTAATCTCAGTTTCATGAATATAGGAATTAATAAGCTTTACTCCAGCTTGTCCATTACTGTATTCATGAAATTGTTACAGTAATTCAAAAATAAAAATATCCATAGATTCTTGAAATATTGTTAATATTTATTATCAACAGATTTCTGCCTAGTGTAAATTGATATCGAGTACTGCTTCAACGATTTAACAAAATGTTACATATTAAAGATAAATGTTTGATTTTCGCTGTATTACTTTATATAATTCGTAATATTTTTTCTTGAGTCTAACACGAAAACAAATGCGATCCGTACCAACACATTCAAAAGTATGAGTTGTTTGTCCGCCTTGGCATGGAACCTATCATTTATTGATTTAGAAAAAACATAATAAACTTGATCAAGACATGGTCAAATCAAAAGCAAAAAAATACACCTATCATAGGTTATTTGACCAGTAATTATTTCAGTTAAGTGAGTTATTTGTATAATAAATAGGTCAACTTTTTTTTCGAGAAAATCTGATTTTAAAAAATTTTAAATCAACAAGTCGAAATTGCAAAATTTGAAACTCGAATTGAATTTCAACTAAATCTAAAGTCTCCAGGAGGTGGACAAGAGTGAAATCGATTTTTAACCAAGATCAGATTAATACTGATTTTAATTAGAAGCAGTTAATAATACCTGACCTGCATCAAGGCAGGGGCAACGATCAGATATGACATAATTAAACAGTCAGTGGAACCAAGACAACCGACCACAAGATATGAGGAAAATACAAAAAAATAACGAAAATGACATTTGCAATTGTCTTAAAAGGCATTTTCAAGCTAAAGCATGAGCTGTTTCAACTCCAGTTCATCATTTCAGTGCTATTTTGCACAATTTGATTTACATAAATAAACTGACTCATTTTTTGAGATCGTCGATGTACAGTACTTTGCGTATGGCAGCAAACCTTTTAACAAGAAGTAATTTTGACTAAAAAGTACGCAATCACAGAATTAATGAGTTAATGAATTAATGAGCTACAGTTTTTACTTAGCTTATTGTCGAGCGCAAATTGATGTACAACTATTAACTTGCTGTAGCATTTGAAAAATTGTGATGAAAAAAGGGAAAATTACAAAACCACAAATGTGATTAGTACAAAAAACAAAAAAGTATTAAGTTATGTCATTGATGATTACTAAAAAGTTGACTACAGAAATTGACTAGAACATGAAGTGACCAGAACATGAAGTGACCAGAACATGAAGTGACCAGAACATGAATTAACTAAAACATGAAGGTAGAACAGTTTCGTTTGTTGCTATTTTGTCTACACTTACGATCAAGTTTTACTTCAACTACTCATTCAGTAGCAAAAAATGTGAACAATCAAAGCACAAGAAGAATTCAAAACATATTTGCTTTTCTTTGGAATCGAGATTCGTGGGGTGAAAGGTTATTGAGAAAATGAATAGAATATAATCATTTCAGTTGTTTGCAGTGTATATAAATAGCTTTTGTATTGTGTGGCTTCGTTTTGCAACGACTTCTCGTCGCTGAATTCATTTAAAAATTGTATTGTTTCTCAATGATATTCTGTGCTATTACTATGAATGAAGTTGAAGCATATTTCGGTGTGTGAAGGGGACTTGAGAGTCCTTGCAGAACCTGAAGTTTTCCGAGCTTCCTAATGTGCTCATTGAATGCCAGGTTTTTGTTCATTGGTACCATAAGTTCTATTTCAGTTCTTGTACTTGCAAACCGCATGGACGATTAATAAATGTGTACGAGATTCATTTTCTGTATGTGTACGAGACTCACTTTGTGCATGTGTACGAGATTCACTTTGTGCATGTGTACGAGATTCACTTTGTGTATGTGTACCGAGATTCAATTTGTGTATATGTACGAGATTCACTTTGCGTATGTGTACGAGATTCACTTTGCGTATGGGGAGAAATTAAAAGTAGGGAACAATCTCGAGTCTGAGGTCAAGTTCGATATTGCTATAATGCGAACACGTAGTTATTTAGCGTTGATTTTTTAAATTTGACTACGTATAGCCTTATTAAATCCAAATACTGAAGGATTATGATGATTTTCATACAATCACGACAGTTTTGACGTAAATTAAATTACAATTGCTGCAGTATTTAATTTGTTACATTTGATATAAGTGAAAATTTGATTAATATAATTATAAATATATGATACTACAAAGTGACTTTCTTACAGTGACAAAATATTATTGCAAAAAAGTTTGGCCACTTCTTTCATACAGCTGATAACATAGAGCGGATATGATACTTCTCCTGCTACCGTATCATATATCATATCTTTCCTAATTAATATTGTATACAATAATTGCGACATCTCATCCACTCGTCACTAACGAACTTTGTCCTAGAACAGAATAATTATAAAATACTGATTAATAATTAATTTCAATATTTAAAATTAGCAATGCAAGAATTATTATAATATTATATTTAAACTAAAAGGCAGTTTTGTTGATTGCAAACTAAGCCCAAAATCGCAAGATAAATTACTGAGAAATTTTTCATTAATACAAATTTCGTAAAATTAGATATTCTATAAATTTTAAATATTTCCTACAAAATATCTGCTCATAAGCTATGACTATTAAGCTCACTGATCCACAAGCTTAATTTTATTGGACCCTTCAGCTTAGAAATTCAATTGATACCATCGTATTCTTTATAAATTCAGCATTAAATTCTGATGAGCAGTGTTACTTTTGCCAAGTTTTGTATTTTACAGCAAATTATTTGCTAAACTTTGTCATGCATAATTAGCTTTATAAAATATGGTTTTCAAATATAATTTTGTACTTGCAGCCCTCGTAGCAAATGCAAAATTTCAGTTTAAATTGTACAAATTTCACGTAGTTTTGGTATTTGCGTGAACAAATAGACAAAATGACAATAGCTAGAAATCTAAAATTCATGTTCTGATTAGAAATGAATAATTAATTTACATGTAATTAGTGATTCCATCTGGTAGAATAATGACGACTTTTTGATTTTCATTAAGGTCCTTGGCAGCCTTCAAGCCATAATAGACAGCAGAACCCGAGCTGCCACCACATAATATCCCTTCACGTCTTGCCAATAAACGAGACATCTCGAATGATTCTTTATCACTGCTTTTCATCCATTGATCAACTACATCACGATCTAATACAGAAGGCACAAAATCATATCCAATTCCTTCCACCTGCAAAACTTTCACTACCAACAATGAAGATCATTGATTACTTGATACTATAATAATGAAATGCTATTAATTACTAAATGAAAGAGCATTATCTTCAGAATCTACATCGCGTCATGCTTCTAGTTGAGTAAAAAAGTCTGAAAATATTGATTTCGCATGGATCGAAATCTAAAAACCTATAATTTCTGCAAATATTTGAACTAGATATTCAGGATCAAATGGAATCAGTATTAATTATCCTTTTAAGCTTAATATTGCTGAATTCTTATAAAAGCTTACAGTTATAAATTGAGACTAAGCAAAAGCATTTGTCTTGAAACTGTATTACTTTGTTCAAGTAATCTGACTTAAATATCAGTGACATACTTCGTAAACTGACGGTTTATCATTTTCAGGATCAGCAAGAATTGAACCAACTGGATCAATGGCAACAATCTGGAATTCAATGCTCATTGTTTCTGAATTTTTAGATAAGCAATAAATAAATACACTTACTTAAAAATAATTACTTTACAATGACAGAGTATAAGAATGAATGGATTCTGAAGTTTGGCGTAAAGGAAATATAAATAAAATAGTTTAAAGAAAAAATTTCAACTTTTTCTATAATCTATTTTTATTTTTTTTACGAACTGATAAAGCTCTAAGATCACAAGACAAAACTGAAATACTTGCAAGCATCAAAAAATCGGAACTGAGTACTTGCGAAAATTTTATAAATACGAAAATTAGCTGCGATATTGAAGTTCTTGAGAACAGCAGAAGTAAAGAAGACTAGAATACATTACTTGAAATGAATCAGTATGTAAGATTTGTGAGAACAAACCTTACACCTTGGGCACACTTCTTTCAATTTATGGCCAACTCCGCTAACTGTTCCACCTGTTCCTGCGCAACCCACAAACATGTCTATATTATCATCTAAGGCATAAAGTATTTCTTCTGCTGTTTTGTCGTAATGTTCGAGGGGATTCGCGATATTTACGTACTGCAATGATGGAATTTGAGCAGAATGACTGCGTTCAAAAATGAACTCTATAGAAAAATCTTATTTGTGCAATGAACATTAAACCAATTCATTTTTTGTAATGAACAATTCAAAAATGTAAGATTCAATCAATCCTGAACTTTGAACTAATTTTTTATAAGTTGCAATCAAATGTGGGCACAATAATGCTTAAAACATTATTCAATACAATCAGTAATTACATTACTTACAGAGCAGTTCGGTACTAAGAAAATGAACTTCAAAAAATCAGTACTAAATAGAATGAAATGAACTGAGAAGTTGATGAAACAGTTTCAAAAGTTTTACGTGGAAAAAATAAGAACCACTGCTTAGGCTTAGGCTTAGGTTTTTAGGAAGGTATAGTTGGATTTGCTTTTTAGCTTTCTCAAGAAATTCAGTCTAGACGAGGACAATTTCAAGCTCCGGTAAGGATCTATTCTCAATGTGTTTTTTAATAAAACAATAAAGAAACTTGGATTAATTGATTTTGACGTGAAAAATTTATAAACATAATAAAACTAATTATGTGCTGTGTATGAATAATATTGACTTGATCTAAAATGATGGCATTAGGAAGTTCTCTTTGCAATCGAATAGCAACACCAATGTGAGATTCTGGATCAGTAAAAGCTGCTTCTGTTGGGGTGCGCACTACCTGAGCTCCCAAAGCTAATAAAATATCTTCCTAAATTTTATCACAGATTTATCCACAACAAAAATAAATTGTTAATTATTTGAACTCATGAAAAGTTCAGAAAAATAATTGGAGAATGTATGTTCAACCTTAAAACTAAGAAAAATTTCTTAATGAAAATTACGCTACAGTGAAAAAGCATATAAAGTATCAATACTAATGACAAGAATAATTTTTTAATTCAAAATCCTAGGACATTAATTTGAATTTTGTTGTTCAGCGGTGCAGTAATTAGGTAGTTTTTATGTCAATTTAAAATTGTTAATACTAACAATTTTTACAAAAGCAATTTTACCTTTTCACGGCTCATTTTCTGTGGCATAACAATAATGCATCTGTAACCTTTGACCGCGGATGCCATCGCCAAACCAATCCCAGTATTTCCTGATGTTGGCTCTATTATCGTCATTCCAGGCTTTAATATGCCTTTTTCTTCTGCCATTTGAACCATTCGGTATGCTATTCGATCTTTAATTGATCCTCCCGGATTAAGATATTCACATTTCACATCTGCAATGACATTAGTCCAAGCTATGCAATATTTCGTTCACGAATTAATATAATAATCATTATATCTGAAGTTAATAGAAGCAACATTTCGAATGGCTTAATTGTTGTTTGGAAAAAAAATTAATCCTATTGCTTTGAAGCATTTTGATAGAAACTTCAAAACAATGCTTTTAATTAGCTGATTAGTTTATTCTCTTTAAGTAGTCAGAATTATGGATTACTGTCAACTTTTACAATGTACAGTTTAAGTTGACAAACGTATACTCACTCATTCAATATCTTGTGAAATTAATCATTTAATTAATTACTAAATCAGTAAGTCATACAGTGAAATTAGTTATTAGATCAATAATTTATGCAGTTGTAGTTATGACTAATTTTTATCACTCATAATCTTTATTATTTATAACTTATTACTAAGTCATTAAGTCAAATATTTATCAAAAAAATGTATTAAGTTTATTTTTTAATATTGTATTGATTATTTGAAAATCAAATTATTTTAATATATAATAAATTTTATAAACATGAAAAAAATTTTTGAGAAATAAACTTACAAATTTGACATTTTACACCAAACATTTTAGGAATAAAATTTAGACGCACTAAAGGTGTGTCCCCAATTGCCTCTAAGACATTATTGATTAGCAATCTCTTGTTGTATTTAGTGTCTTGGACTGTTTCTCCTTTGCTTCGATTTGGCGCGCAACTATAATTTACAAAATTAATATGCACTGAGACTTATTATTAAATCAATAATTTCAGTAATAAAAAAATAAAAGAATCAAAAATAGTACTGAGAATATAGGAGGCAGAAGTAATGACAACGAGAAATAATTAGTTGTTACTTAAAGGCCCTAAAAATAAACAATACTCTCAATACTGTATGTCTCATTAACAATACTGTACATCTCATTAACAATAGTGTATA